CATAAATGATGTAAATTTGTAACTAGTGCTGCATATGTAATGCATGAATGTTTAATTAATTTTCAAACAAACTCTTTGAAGGGGGAGAGCAAGCAACAAGTCACAAAGAGATGGTGTCTCTGGCTAATCTTTACCGTGCTCTTCATAACTCTTCCACCTGAGCTTAGGATTTGCACTGGCACAAGATCATGCCTGATATACCCTATACTGATGTGACTGGGCTGGAGGTAAACTAGCACTGAACGACTTTGCTGTTCTCAGACCCCATATAAGCTTTGAAGGGACTACTTTCCAATTTCTTGTTATTTTTTAATTTGCTCTCTCTTGGCATTTTCATAAAAAGAGTCTTTTTACTGAGGTTGTGTTAGATCTATGACCAATAATGAGAAACAGCATCATGGTGCATCTTTGTGGGTCATGAATTACTGTGCTTTGATATGTAATTACATTACATTTAGATGAGTAGCCAACTGATATGGCTTGCACTAATATTCTTGTTACTGAACTCTTCCTCAGACTGGAGTATATGAATTCAGGTGGGCCTCTGACTGCCTCTGGCTCAGGGACAGTGGCCCCAAGATCAAGGGATGTGGGGTCACCACCTCTGGGCATTCAAAAAAACAGCACGCTGGACAAAGCTTTCCCACACCCTACTCTGTAGCAGCTGATTTCTCTGTGTTGCTCATTAGGCATGAAGAGAAAATGTCTTGTCATAAAATAATTATAGATTTCAGCCACATGTAATGATGTAGAGAGGACTATGCAGCCTCATGCAAAGTGAGTGACAGTTACATGAGAGATCACTGTGTTTTGGTACATGTTGTCAGTGGGTAGAAGCGTTAGTCAGCATGTACTTCCTTCTGTACATAAAGCCCCTGTTACAATTAAGCTGAAGAACCCATGAAACTTGTTTTCAAACTGATAAATAACCTGGAAGCTCACTGGCAGAAGATGTGGCTACCAACAATATAACCACATTTAGAAAAAAGTTGAGAAAATCACAGAATCACAGAACGGTTGAGATTGGAAGGGACCTCTGGAGATCATCTAGTCCAACCTCCCTGCTCCAGCAGGGGCCTCTACAGCATATTGCCCAGGATCACATCCAGACGGGTTTTGAATATCTCCTGGGAAGGAGACTCCACTACCTCTCTGGGCAACCGGTTCCAATGCTCTGTCACCCTCACAGTGAAGAAGTTTTTTCTCAGGTTTAGGTGGAACTTCCTGTGGTTCAGTTTCTGCCCATTGCCTCTTGTCCTGTTGCTGGGCACCACGGAGAAGAGACTGACCTCATCCTCTTGACACCCTCCCTTCAGATACTTGTACACGTTGATCAGATCGCCTCTCAGTCTTCTCTTCTCCAGGCTCAACAGGCCCAGCTCTCGCAGCCTCTTCTCATAGGAGAGATGCTCCAGTCCCCTCATCATCTTGGTAGCCCTCCGCTGGACTCTCTCCAGTAGCGCCATGTCTCTCTTGTCCTGGGGAGCCCACACCTGGACCCAGTACTCCAGGTGAGGCCTCCCCAGGGCTGAGGAGAGGGGCAGGATCACCTCCCTTGACCTGCTGGCAACACTCTGCCTAATGCAGCCCAGGATACTATTGGCCAGTATGCTAGTATCGAGGTAGAGAGCATGAAATATTGAGGGAGGAAGCGAACTCTGAGGTGTTAAAATAAATGTACTAAGAATGACATCATGGTTTGATTCAAAACACTGGACTATCCACATATTCCAGGGCTGCCCATTAGGAGGATCTGGGTATCTTGCTTACGTATGTCTAGTTCAATTCCCATCATTTGAGATGCTGGGTTAGATCACTGAATACTGCTCGTGATGGAAAGAAGGCACAGACCTGATGTAAAGGCTTTTTAAGGTCAAGAGGGGGAAAGACAAAGAGCAGGGACAAAGAGCACATCAAACAAGTAAAATCTGAAACTGAGGCCCCAAACGACATTGTGGGATTGGACTGCTGTTGAAAATCTTGCTTTTGTCATACACCTGTCAATCTACACATGGATCCGCTTCATTGCTGAAGAGGGGGAGCATCACAAGTATCTTTTCCAGAGCAAAGCTGTCGCCTCTTTTAAACCATTGGGAGATACAAACCTGCTCTAAATGTGTTAGAAGGAAGGGAGAGGGGGGCTGTACTGCATGTTTGTGCCCTTCTCCTCCTGTTTTCCCCTAGTAACTGGTCCATATTTAGCAACTGCATTGATTTACCCATGTAAAGAAGACAGATTTCATTCAGCCCGACAACGAAATCAATGGAAGTTTTGCCATTGTTTAAGAAAGGATGCCCTGTGAGAGGGGGGGAAAGCTTTAGCCCTGCACTATTGCTACATAACAGGAAAGAAACTATCCTCCTGTCCACAAATACGTTTGAAGTTATCCATCCTATATTGATTTAACAAGGCTGGAAATTCAGGCTTCAACCGGCAAGTACTTGAAATGTAAGATCATGCTCTCAGTCTTGTCTTTTTTTGAAAAGTCGAGCATTTCCTTACGGCAATAAACACCCCATGTGTTTTGATAGTTCAGGCAAATATAGGCAGCTCAAGTCTCAGGATGTGGACTTCGAAAAAAAGGCCTTCCACCTCTCACATTTTGGCTGCTGATAGTATGTGGCTGTTCTTTTACAATTTCCTTCCTGCACAAGCAGCAATCACTAATTTTAGACTGTCTTATATATAAGAGTAACATCGCAGGCTTGGAAACAGTTTGCTACTTTTAGAGAACAAACCTACTACATCTTACCAGGTAACATACTACTCTGTAAATTTCAGTGACAGGTGGCAGGTCTCTTGAATTATTAAAAGGAAATAAGTACAGCACACAACAACACATACCTTCAGTTTGAAGGTATCTAGGAGTACATGACAAAATTGATCAATTTGTGTAACAGCTATTAGAGAAAAGCATACAGTGCCTAGCAAAATTTGGAAGAAAGATTATAATCTCCAGGTGTACAGCTCCTACTGGAAAAAATACTGTAGTAATAATAAAGCAGATAATTCTAGATAGCCAATTACAGATAGCTCATTTACATTAGCTTTGTAGTTTTTAAGTCTTACAAAAATGTGTTGAGTCTTGCTCTTACTATTGTACAGCTTTTGAATTGGTAATGTGTAGTCAGATGAGCCTATCTCCTTTTCATGTGCTGATGATTAATGTCATTGTTAGGAGGTATGTTGCCTGCCACATGCATAGCCAGTTCAGTTACACAGAACTGCGTAAAACACACAACTTCTCGGCGAGCGTAGTCACACATAGGGGTATATAGTTCAGAGGTTCCTTTGTGCTACTAATTGTAAGCGGAGACTCAAACCCATAGACCAACAGGAGCGCTTAATACAGCTCCTCTTCCAGGGCACCTCCTGGATGTATTTAAGCACCCCGTCCTGCGTGTTAGAGGAGATGGGAGTCACGCACTCGTCGCTGGATGCCCGGCGGGGTAACACGCTGCTCGCAGCAGGTTGCTCAGGGGATCTGCAGCTGGGTCGCTAAAGGTCTTCCTCTAGCAGTAGTTTTTCCATGCAGAGTTTCCACACAGTGCTGCAGACCACCCCCCCCCCCCCCCACCCTCAGCTCTGCACTTCAGGTGGAACAATGACACCTTTTACTCGTGGTACTGCTGCAGTGCCCGAGAGTCCAGCTCAGGGGCCAGCACTGCTGGTGATGAGCCGTGGGAAAGAGGCTCATCACCACCAAAGGGTCTCAGGGCAGCTCAGGGGCCCGCACCCTCCCCGCGCCCTGCAGCGAGCTCTCCCGGGGGCAGCCACGCAGTAACGGCTATGCGGTACGGCATTCACAACCCCCAAACTACATGCAGCTTTACCTCAGCCTCCTACAGCTCCAGAACACAAAAAGCCACTCTCTGCTGTAACATACAGGGTGGGAAGAAAGGACTGGTAGAACAAACACTGTGGAGAACATTTTTCAGTAGGATGCTCAGGCATTTTACAGAGCATGGTAAACCTCTTTCATGCTTATATTCCTTAAAAGGATTTTAAGTTGTTTTCTTTTAAAAACGTTTGGATTTGTTAAGTGAAATAAGTACCTGGCGCATTTGTTAAGTGAAATAAGTACCTGGCGCATAATCCAACCGCTCACGTTTTCAGTGAGTTACTGGTTGCTTCGAGAACATTTGACGAGACCACTTCTTAAGCCCTGGGCAGACTTTTAAACAGTAAGATTTCAAGAGCACTCAGCATGAAGGAGACTCCTGTATTTCACTACCGAGGTTTCAAAAGAAGACAATTCCCTGGCATGTGCCTAATAAATAACATTCCTCTGTTCCATGTCCCCCTTCATACAGACCAGCCGAGCTCAAACACTGACAAGCGGATGTGAGGCAGGGTGTGAGGAGACAGTAGATCTTCAACCCCAAATGAAGAATCTGTCCTGCCGCGTATTTAGACAGATATTTTAAGTCAAGCAAGTAGGCCAAGATGATGAAGGCTTGTTCTTACCTGATGTATTTTTTACTACTGAATGCGAGGGGAAATGAAATTTGGTTACTGTGTTATTATTATCCAAATCTGCTGTAGGATATTTAAATCATCTTCAGTGTAGTGTCTGTTCATTGTGAGGGATCCCAAGATATTTTACGCGCTTCAGTCAAGAGACCTAAGGGATCATTTTATCCATCTCTAAATGAAATCAGCTCCAGGCATGAAATGTTGCAAATACTTAACAAGAGAATGATTTAGAATAATAATTGATGCATAATATATCCTGAATCACCTGCTGTGTATATCTGTTCTTACAGGAATCCAAATTTGCATTCTTATGCTTGTGAGAATATGAGCTAAGTTTAAAATTACAAATCATTAATGATTTACTGGTCAAAGTGTTCCACACATCCAAAAATTTTTGGGGTCAATTAAGAAGGTGAATTTCAGATTCTGGGGTTTGTTCCAGTTTTGATGTTGGAAACCTCAAAGGATGGTATGTGCCATGGTCATGAAATAACTTTTTCTTTTACCACAGTTACAAGTTCTCTCAAAATAATCTGCCAGTGCTTTGTGGAAAACAGATCTTTATATCCACAGATTCTTCATTCATTGCTCTCAAGCAAGAGACCAACTCATCTGGCACCAATGTTTGTTCTTGAGCATTTTCGCTAGACAGTGTTTTTTCCCATTGATTTTCCAAAAGGCTATTTTGTTCCTCCTGTGCTGAATTGAACGCATTGTTTTGCCCACTCCTATTGTTGTTTAAAATTAGATTAATCTTTTCCAGCAGAAAAGCATGCTGCTCTGTTCCTTCGGCATTCCACAAGTAAGTAACAGGACTCGTATAATCCTTGCAGAAAACATTTGTCTCTAGTTCTGGAGCCAGCGTGTGGGGCTGTGTTTGGTAAATGTTGGCAGCTACATATCCCAATGGGTTCCCGTCAGAAAGCTGAGGCTTGTAGTCGCTGACCAGCTCAGTGGCTGCGGTGCTGGCCGGCGGGGAGCTCTGCGGGCACGCCGTCTTCTCAGGATCCGCTTTGCTGTGTTTCTTTCTGATGTCCACGGTCTTGTATTCCTCGTGCACCGACATCTCCTCTATTTCCATAATTGTGGGATTGCTGTTATCTGAGAACGGCTCGCTGAAACTGTTACTTGTGAATTCACTCTTTTCCTAGGACAAAATAGTGATTGTAAAAACAAACTGGCAGATCTCGCAAAAGTGAGAGATATCATTAGAATATCACAAGGAAGAAACGGGGTGGTGACAGTCCTCACTGACTCTTTGTCTCAGTCTCATCCTCCTTTCCTTCTCCCTCATCTAATCCCCTTCCATAAAACTGACTCCAGCGAGGCAGAAGAGAGAAGACGGGAGCCGCAGCGCATGCCTCCGCGCTTTTGCGTGCACTTCAAGGGGCAGCTTGGTGCAGTCGTCGCTACTGCATAATGTTTGCTTTGAGGCAAGGCCGAAAGACGTCAGCTAAGCTGGGCTCCCTTGTGTGATGCACCTTGCAAATGCCCACAGGATGATTCCCCGGTCAGTCCCCTGGCCCCTCAGAGCTCAGTCCCATTCCCACCCAGCCTGCTTCTGCTCTCGTTCTGGACCTATGGTGCGATGCCTACTGTCATTGCCAGAAACCCTTTGGGCACAGGGAGAATTTTCCCACTTAGAACTGGGCATGCTTGTTGCAGCTCTTGGCACCCTGGGCTTTTTTAATCTACATATAGACGAGTGAAAACAAGCTGGGACATAACGTTGCAATTACCTGGAGTGACTTTATCACATTGCTGTTTTCCACGTGGGGAAAATCTTCAAACAGCCACTTTGGCATTAGCGACACAACTATTGTGTTAATTCTTTACCAAAAAAGAAAGAAAAAACCCACAACGTTAGTCCATTTTATCAGTCACTTATTTGCTCATTCTGGATGAAATAGTCCCCAGGACAGGGAGGGAGCACAAAGTTTATTCACTGCTCCCAGCCTTTGCGGATGGCTTGGAAGCCTCAGGTTTACCCCCTCTTTGGGCAGGTTTCCCCATCCGAGCTTTAACCCACACCCAGGAAATGGCCGGTGCTTGCAGGAGCGATGGGAACAAGCCTAACTCACCGAGCTTCCATTTACACACGTGAGCTTCTATTTACAGAAGAAGGTTTCTTATTCCTATGTTTCAGTTAGCCAGGCTAAACCCAGGGGGCAAACGCTAGCTCTTCATCCTCCAGTATTATTCCTCTAAGCTTGGTGCAGGCTGAGCCTGGCTGCTGCTGGTGTGGGGACAGACTCGGTTCAGTGCAGAGTGTTCACCCTAGCATTACACTATATGGCTGCTGCAGAACAGGTACTGTTCCCCTCAGAATAGCATTGGCTTTTGCCACTGCATTACCATCAGAAATCTAGAGCTTCATTTACTATGCAGGCCTGGGAGCTAATTACGTTGAGTAAAGCCCTTATTTAAAACATACATGTATGTGAAAATATTGCTAAACTGGGGGGAGAACCAAACTAGGTACATAAACAGGAAGATGCCTGTATTGCCTGAACTGATGAGAACAAAAACACAGCCATCCTGAAGACTGTTTTTTCTACAATCAAAGCTGCTGCAGAAATAAAAAAATACTTTTTTGCAAGAAATTTTAATTTAGCTAAACTCTGCTGATGTTATGGTGCATTGCTGTGTTCCTGAGAAAGTACATACTCTCTGCTCATGCTGAAATGCTCGTGTTTCACAACTACATCACCAGCAGAAAAATGAGACTAATGTCAGGAAGCAAAAGAGACCTCTTTCACTGATGGTGAGATGCCTCAACGTCCTCTAGCTCCAGGTCTTCTCCACCCTATTTCTTGTTTTATCAGGAGCATCCAACAGACAGCCCCGTGTCACGGAGGTAACTGTTTGCTAGGGATTCATATCAGCAACAGCAATGGTTGAATCAATATTCCAGTGAAATGGAAATTACAAGTAGAAGGAAGAGTCATTTGTCATGCACACACCATTGTTCTGTGAGGTCCAAGGCCTCCAACAGCAGTGCAGCAGGCAAGGAGGTCCCTGGGGAGGTGGCATCTGTGTGGGACACGTGGCTGGGGACAGCCCTCCCTTGGCCTGGCCACCAACAGGAAATGCCACTGCCTGGGCTGCTGCTGGTGTCACCCCCCGGGCTAAACTTGGGGACCAGCTCCGGCAGCAAGAAAGTGGAGGTCAGCATCTCCTGGAGAGAGGGTGCCTCGTGAACTAGGTACGAGGCAGTTGTTGGTAAAAAACTGTAATATTCTCCCTTTTAAGTTTTTCTGTTGCAGTTTCCAATCTCTGCCTGTCTCTCCGAGTCCAGATGTGAGGGGCTGATCAGCAAACTGCACCAGAGACAGCTTCCTCTCGTAACTCAAAAAGTAAGTAAACAAAATCTACTATGAAAAGTACCTGAAGAAGGTTGAGTTTTTCCTCTCTTTCCTTTTTACTCCCTGATACCCATATAATAATATATCATATGTCCTTAAGTCTGTTCTTTACAGAGGAATGATTGCTATGTTTTGTTCTTCAGACTGTATAGAAGATGCCTTTTGATACAGCAATGTGATTAATGGGTTAGGCTGCCCTCCAAAAGGTTTCTGTAATTAATTTCAGGATGTTCTGGAAGGAAGTTATTTGTTGGAAATAAGGTAAAATCTGTGAAGAAAGCAATACCTTTTTCTAGCTGACTTTTTAAACATCAGAATTACAAAAGCAAGTGACAATATGATCACACCGACACCCAGTCCCAAAAAAGCTCCAATGTCATCATCTGAAAAAGGATAAAAAAGAAAAGGTTAATTAGGTCGCTTTCGTTTTAAGAAAGACATTTTCAATAGGCCAAATCTTCAGTCACAAATGCAAGTAATTCTACATACATGAATGATCGTGCTGAACTCCAAGAGACTCCTTGCACCTCTGTCGGTGTTCCTGCACACTTACATTTTAAATCTAGTGTCCTGATGAACAAACAATATTTATCTAAAAGAAGAGGCCACCCAAGCACCTGGACCAGGCCCTGGAGGGGGGCTCTGTGCTGGCCAGGCATGCCGTACAGCCGGTAGCACTGGTGGCGAGCCTTGCTCCACTGGCTTACATGGCGCTATAGGGATTTATGTAAAGTCTAGACTTTGAAAAAGACTAGAACTTGCTTTGAAAAAGTAGTCGTTAGTGCTTAACTTGGCCATTTGCTTCACAGTAAACGAAACAAAGCAATAACAAAACCAAAACAAAAACTGCAGTGCTGTGTATGGTTTGTACTCCGAGCCTACGTGATGGCGCGTGATGGCGGCAGGCGCCGAGGTCCTGCCTGGTTTTCGGCGCGCTGCTGCCTATTCATCTCTCTGACCTGGCTGGACATATTGCCACGCAGACAGGATTTTTCAGACAGATAATTCTAAGAAGTGTGGTCATTGTATTTAACCATTTCCTGCACAGTATCAGCTTCCAGAAATGCTTAAGTGTATTCTTAAGTTTACACTGGTTTTGCCTTTAACTACTGAAACAAATCATAACATTAGCTTGCCAGAAGATAGGCAAACCAGAAGCATAACTGAAATTAGAGCTATATAGGAATGTTTAAATGAGTCTCTGGCTCAGACTGCAAGGTCAAAAAAGCAGAGTCAGCATAGCTACCTATGTGAACAGAAAATACTATCTTATATTTTCCTTGTTTTCTTATCTCCTACTTGTTGTAATGTACATTTTTATTACAAGTCTCTTAAGAAATCAAAACTTAAGGGTATAAATTATGCAGGTCCCATCAATCATGAGAGTACTGCAGCCTTTCTTGCACTGCGACTTATTTCCCAGCCAAATGAAATGTTTTTCTGGCTCTGATCAAAGTATTATGGAAAGATCTTCCCCATGATTATATCACCAGATGCTGCAATCCCTGCTCTGGCTAAAGCTGCTGCTGCTGGTCAAGAAGAAACTCTTGCTTACCAAGTGTGAAATATTGTCTTCTTACCGTAGGAAGTCTGACTGTAGGTGCTGTCCAGGAAGTGTTCCTCCGGAAAAACTTAAGGAGAGAGAGGAAAAAAATGCCTGTAACTTCATTTAGAGAACGTACAGCAAGTAGAGGAGAAGCTATTGTTTGCTTTATTTTGTTACTATTACTTAGAAATAAATAACAGTATAATGAGAAAAATAAAGCTCCCTAAAGTAATTAGTAACTCCAAATATAAGCTAGACTCCACATAACCTCCTATTCTCAGAGATATCGTTAAGCCAAATGTTGATGAAATCATGATATACATTATGAAAAATCTCCCACACGCTTTCCTGCCCTGAATACCTGGAATAAGAATTCAGTTTTCTTGACCAACCGTGGGTCACTTTTCAAGAGCACCTGTGGATTATTTCCCAAAGTGTCCAAACCCCACAGGACTGAATTTCCCAGCAATGTCATTCTGACTGACTGGCTGAGCTAAGAGGGGAGATAGATACGTAGCTAGTGTCCACCATGGCAAGAAGCCTATTTTTGCTAAAGTAAGTAGCAAGCTTTCTTTCCTGGTTGTATGAAGCAATTCCCTTGGTGTGCCCTGGCTCCTACAGAAAAGGCCCTGGGCCAAGGACCAAGTTTTGGGCTGAACCCGTAGCTCGGTTCAGAAACACCTGCCAGGACAAGCCACCGGCTGCCCGGGGACCTCTCCAGCCCTTCCTGGCCCTGCTGGGGCATCCCCAGCACCCCAGCCTGCAGGGCTGACCTGCCCGGCAAGGCTGCCCACACCCCAGGCCTAGGCAGCACAGATGGCTGGAGAGCGAAGGCTTTAGCAGAGTCATCCTTGCAAATACAGCTTACGGTGGCAGCAGGATTTTCTCAAGGTAACAAATCGCTAATACTGGAGTATTTGGGAAGGAAAGAGCTGCAAGTGCAGCTTTAGAAGTATAACGATGGAAATACGTTCTGAAACATCACAGCTGCATGCCTGAAAGCTCCTCCGTATTCTTCAGTTGGACTGACTGCTCTGGGAAAAGTGTTGTTACTTCCCGTAAACCTGTCTCTGTCCCCAACAGCCGGCCTTCGCCGGCGGGCTAGGAGAGAAGAGCGTGGCCCTCGCCGAATGGTGCCATCATGTGGCTCGAAGGGGAACATCTGCACGGAGACCCGCAGGGCAGCTAACCGAAAAACTGCTGTTGCCAACAGTCAGTCCGCTCGTCTGGGCCTTCCTGGAGGCCATCTCTCACCCTGCTCCCCAGCGAGGCATCTGTCCTGTCCGGTGGTGGAAGGCTGTAGGAAAGCTTTGCTCCCGCCGCGTGCCTGGGCACTGCTTGCCCTGCGGGACGCGAGAGGCTCGCAAGGTCCTATGGTATTGTCTGCTCCAGCAGCAGATAACTGAATATTTTTAAATAGAGAAATGGTATTAATAAGAAGAGCAGATAGTGTCATAGTCTACAAACAGTCACAGAGCTTAAAGCTGGCTGAGACAACCAAGCCTACCCAGCATAATGTCCTCTACAACGTAGGCTGCCTGATTTCAGTCAGTGATCTCTGCAGCAGAGGTAAGAATCCGCGAGTTTAGACGGCTTCAGATGAAAATGAGCGAAAGACTTTTGGAATTCACAGGCTTTTAACGAGTATAAGAGCAGCTTTCAAAGCACAGAGCTTAGCTAAATGTGGAAACCCGCCTAGGAACTAAGTGGCAACGAGCACCATTCCAGCACTGTTTTGTGCCAGCTTCGTGAGGACCAAAGGAGAAAAGCCTTCGTTTCTTCATACAGCTATTCACAAGTCATCTTCCTCACTATTTTCAGAGGCCAAAGGCAATCTCTTCCTCTCTGAACTGTTCCGCCTATCTGGTATTGTGGATGAGAGAGAGATGTGCCAATACCAGTGTGTGTCCCACTGTCAAATTACATTTCATGGCACTAGGCTTTGAGCTGAACAGACCTGGGTAATGCTATAGCTGCTTTAGCAAAACCTGTTAACACAATTCAGTCACAAAATAAGGGAAAAGGAGACCACAGACCAGATTCTGTTTCCAACCCTGTAGATTTGAGGCATGTACTTCTAGTATAGCTCTTAGAGTTCAAGTATTTGAGTTTCCTAAACCGACTTTGTCTAGAGTACAAGCCTGCTCAGCTGGAGTGCTCCACAGCCATTACAAAGGACCTCCTGATCATGTGGGATGGTGGAAGGAAGCGGTTGAGTAAATTATTCAGTAGCCTTGGAATTAAGCAGTTTACATGTGTACATCTGTGCACGAGTGTGTGTCACTGGCACATTTAACTCATATAAATTAAAAATTGTCATATAAATACAGTAATGCCCCTTTGATGATGAATGGACTTTAATCTGTATAATGAAGATAAAGAAAGAGGTTCAAACCAGGGGGCTGAGTTGGAGGATTTTATTCTGGGTGTGAGGTGCTGGTCATTCTAGTGCTTTTGAAGCATTTCAAACCCTTTGTCACAGGTATGAGCTTCATCATTGCCGTCCATGCCAGGCCTACCCTGACCTAGAAACCTAGATCCTACCTAAACCCCACTGGGACCCAGAAACCAGACAGAGAACTACCCACATTTCTTTGGGGCCTGCTCCTCAGAGGCCCTCTTTGATGCATCTAGCTCTTCCCCCTTGAGCACAGAGGCAGCTCTAGTGCTGAGGTTTAAGCCTTGGATTCTGCTTCAGGATCAGGTCCCCAGAAAAGAGACATCCTACCACCAGAGCTGAAGGTGCCTAAACCCAGATCTGCCCTTAGGCTGCCACTCTGAAAGCTGTCCATCTGTCTTTGAGGAGAACAGCTAACAGCCAGAGCTAGCAGCTAGCCTTTAACAGCCAAGGATCAGCTGACCAGGAATATTTACCGGATGTTGTTTCCATTGCATGGAAAAAATGGAATAACCACCATGCTCAAAACTAAGAGAGGTCTTAGCGAGAAAGACAGAGACAGTTTGTCAAGGGGAAAGTATGTGAACCGCTTCAAATAATGAAACTGTATTCACACCACCGAGACAGTGACTTTGTGGACTAATGACACCCTAAGGTGTTGTCGTTGCCTGCAACTACAGTGGGCTGCGGGCAAAAAAGATGCTATACATTTGTTGCTGGAGAACACGTGCCATCGAAATTAAGCTCACGTCAGATGAGTTTCTCTGTTCATCCAGACAGACAACTGGACTGGGGTTTGGTGGACACCCTGCGCAGAGTCCACACATGCACAGGTTTTCTCTGCAGTGCGGTGTCCATGGAAGAGGTATTGTGGTGCTGGGAGGTGTCCTTAGCACTCAGAGGTTTCGAGCTGTGAATGGCTTGTCCTGGTTTACCTAGGCAAGGACCAACAGCAGGACGGAATAGTTCAATAATCTCAGTACGTCCAGCTCTCGAGGATGACGAAAGCCAGCACACACAGTGCCCTGCAAAGAAGTGCAGGACGTGCCTTCCAGGCAATCAAGGTAGATGCTGGAGGCGATGCGGAGTCCATATTTTCCTTTTTGAATTGGCCCATGCTACATCCTATCTAAAACAGCTTCCAGAACTGAAGTCTGCCTAGTTCCTGCTCTAGATAAGAAAGGAAAAGTTATGGCTTGGCCAGCTGCTCTCTGTAAAAGCTATGTTTTGTTTTCTTATAAGGTTTTATTGCCAAATGTGGCAAAGAAGAAGCAACCTGATCTTTTGCATCACAAAAAGGGAGAATGATGACTCCATTGGCATATTTTGTAGAATTAATCTCATGTTCATCAGAGATCTGTGTGCAGAAGAAACAAAGCATACCAACTAGAGAAGGCTTTCATAGAGATGTTTTGATAAAATCTGAATTGACATGTCCTGCAGCCAAGAGGTTTCCTTCTAGAGCCCTCCTTTTCTCTGTGGTCCATGGCAGGCAGGAGAAAACTGATGAGTTTTAGCTCTTTTTTCTAAAATTAAATAACTCTACAAAATTAGCAAACTGTGTGACTATCAAGAATGAAGCAGCAAGCTGAACTTTGCAACCTCCTCACAGCAAGCAGCAGTTTCTCCACACCACTGCGCTTACCTTGGCCAGAGCACGGTTTGCTTACTCCGTCCGGGTAGACTGCGTATACCGACACGTTGATATGGCTTCCCGCTGCTGCCTCTTCTGGAAGGAAGCAACATTTGCTTTTAAAATGTATTTGCGAGCTGCCATTAGTGCTATAGACTCTCTCAAGCACATCTCAAAGGAGCAGTGAAAGGAAAGGGAAGACCAGGGGAAGCTCTGGTGGGGTGGGAGAGCTCCCCAGCTCCGGGTGGAGGACGAGCCCACTGCACTCCTTCCCTCTCTCAGGAAAATCAGCAACACTGAAGCGGCCGCAGCGCTGGCCTCAGGGGCTGTGCGAGGCCTCTTGGGGTGCTGGAGCTCCCCAGCGCCTGCCTGCAGGGCCTGGCTGCCACGGGACTCCCGGCAGGTCGCTGCCGTGGGTCTACACGGGGTACGTTGCAGCCACCAAGTGGCGCAGAGTGCGACAGAGGGTGCTGGGACGTGGCCAGCCTCGCCGTGAGCATTAGTGGGTTCGTGTCTGTGCAGTGGTTTTGAGAGACGGTAATAAAGAAAACTACAAACCCAGATTCCTGAACTAGCGCTGATGAAGACGAACACCATGTCTGCTCGGAGGCTCGGAAGAAAGGTGTGATATAGTCTATGGGATGGGAAAATTACGTCCTAAACCCTTGTGCCCGGTGCAGGGAAACTCCTTTCCCTGCCCAGCCTATTCCACGGCCAGGACCTGTTCACCACGGGACTTGTCGGTGGGTGCTTTCCTTCATGGGTCACTGGCAAAGCGACACCCATTCAGCAGCCAAACAAATATCTTGTGCTTAGTGCAGATACTGTTTCCTATTTTAATATGGCTCCACATCTTCCTTCCGTCAATAAAGGATCGCCTTGCAAACAGAGCCGGCTAAGTCCCGCTACGGACTGGTTTGGAAGGGGGCTCTACTCTGTGCCGCTACCAAAAGCATATGTGAAAGAGCAAAAGCCTGGCCAAGTAACAGCCTAGGAAGCACCCAAAAGGCAATAAACACCTAGAATTAATGTGTGAGGACCAGGAACTGAACGAGACAGATGCTGAGAGCTTTACGCTGCTAGACTCAAAAGCCGGGTCGGTAAGGACCACGGCTTCGCTTCTTTGGACACTGCAGGGAGAGGAAATGTGCTAAGGCAACAGCCTTGCTGCATCAAGTATTCTGCCTGCTCTCTCTCCATCCCTAGATGCACACATGTGTCTCTCCTGCACTCACGTTCCCACAGTTTCATGCCATACTGCCTCACTTGTCCTTTCCTTCTCCAACCCTTCTCTCCTGGGGGGCTTCCTGCGTGGGACCACGTGTCCCGCTGACTGCCATCGCGTTTTGTATCATGGCACTCTCTCACGCTGCCTAAGGGCTCTTCCCAGCCCCAGGCTCTAAAACCGAGGGGGCAGAGGCTGAATTGCAAATGAACCTTTGGCTTCACAGCATTCTTTGGCTTTCTAATATTTTTGGTCAGCTGCACCAAACGGCAAAAGGACTCTTGGAATATCTTACCCTGGATGTACGCGAGTGTGTCCTGCTTGGGGACTTTCTGCCAAAAAAATTGGTACTCCTGGCTATATCGAGCTGCAGAAAGACACTCCAGAATGAACCACAGCAGGGGCTTCGCGCTGCGCCGCGGGTGCTGCCACGTCACGGCCACCCGGCTCCGCTCCTGGCAGCTGCACGTCGACAAAACCGAGCCTTTCCTGCAAGTGTGTAAGAACTGACAAGGGAAAAGGAAGTGCTGGAAGAGGGAGCGATACGCACATGCGCGCGCGCCCGTCCGTGCGCATACGTGCACGTCTCAAAAGCGCACGTTCCGTGTCGGAACGCTTTTCCCTGCCATTTTTTTTTACCAGAAACACCTATGCTTCTGATAAGTCCGAAAGATTAGAGAACCTTTTCCACCTTATTTACACCGCGAAGCTTCCTGCTCTGCATATTCGCTGTTTGTCCTTAATTTGAGTGGGGCTTTCCCCTCCCCTGGCTTAGAAAAAGAGACTTTTTCAAAAATAGGAAAGTGTGGTCGCGGGGAAAACCACAGCCTGTGGCACGGGCCACCCGAGACAGCCCAGCGGCTGGGCGCCCCCCCGTTCCAGTGGGTCCCCC